CAGGTTTTAATTGGTTCAACTCAGGGAATGATCAATCACCTTAACAAAAGGAAATAAAATCTATGGAAGGCAGCTGCATAAAGCACAGAATGCTGCAGCAAGCAAACAAGACCCTTTCATGCACACCTCTATGTTCACATTTTTATGTGCATTAATGTGCTTAAATGTCATGCCAAACACAGAGATGTGTGTGCATCAGAGTTATGGACCACGGGAGAGGCATAGAACATAGAAGTAGATTTTATTTCATTGCCAAGTATGGAGGAGGTGGGCCTCAACCCTATTTTATACAGCACCTACTATGTCTACAGCTTTGAGACAAAGACTCCACTTTCAAAAGGAGAATGAGACTTTGGCAACTTAATTTAAGCAACACAAATATAACTTCCCTGTTTAGATGCTAATGCCATCTGAAAAGGATCATATCAACCCTCACGGAACACTAGATGGCAAGTACACCCAGTTAATAATCTGTCCTAGCCCAGATCCAACAAGGCATGGAATCCAGGGTTCAGTCCTTCGGAACTTAGTAATCTAGCAGATCTCTGTGTTTGCATAGCTAAAAGATACAGTTTCATAAAGGTCAGGGTCTGTAGGCTTATTCTCAGTTGATACTAAGTGGGACTTCTCACTAAACTACCACGGAATTGGACAGAAAGTAAAATAAGGTTTAGGACCACAAATTCCTGTTCTTGAAATGTCCAAGTTTCAAGAAAAAGGAATTCACTGAAAAGCTGCAGAAATGAATCATCTCTAAAACCTAAGTGTCACACTGCCCTCCAGTGGAAATAATAAGCTAACACAGGCTTCATGGATCGGAACTGGATCATGGATTGGAAATACCTAAAGAAAAGGATGCCTGGAAATATACTAGGGAAAGAATGTTTCGAATAAAAAGGAACTTATTTATTCTGGCGTGTTCGAATGCCCAGTACAGAGATCTTAAATACTTGCTATTCTCACCATCAGTAACAGGATATTTTGAATGAATCCAGGTGGGTTACAACTTAAAAGAACATGCATAACATTATGAGTAGTAAGCTCTTAGGCAGTAATCCAATGGCCCCTAATGTTCTTTCAAGAGCTACAGGAGACTGGGGATTGCCCTTTCTGTAATAGCAGGCAGCAGTCCTACCACTGAAAGGCGAGTCAGCGATCCAGCCCCCTCTCCCACTCTCTCATGGCCAGCATAGAAAAATTCCTTCCAGGTCATAAAATGAGCTTCAAAGAAGGGCAAAGGGGGTAAGTCTGGTGGATGGGGAGAGGAAGAGCGCCAGGATACAAGCTCTCCTGTGCCTCTCTTACTCCCTGTCTACTGCACCCTTTACAGACCTTCTGGCAAAATATATAAGGTAAAGGACATGGAGGCAAAGATTGCCTAAGCGGCTCCTCCTGCCCAGAATTGATGACCATAAGCCTCCAAGTTTGGGGGCATGCAATCAGTGAGGGTGTAATCCATAACACTGAAGCTTCAAGTCAGTGCCACCCTGATTGTTGGGCAAATATGTAGAAGACTGAAATGAAGGCATGATTTACTATAGGTTACCAGAAGAATGTCACAGCATCATAGGTCAAGCAAGGCTTGATGTAGTTTCTCATAGTACTAGCAGTTCTTTTGTACACACAGACCACATGCAAGCACCACTACACCAAAAGGAGCAAATGTGTAGTAAGCAGGTAGTATATTAATCCTGCGATGGGAAATTCCAGTTCAAATCTCTGCTGTTATACTTCAGTTGTAATCCTTTATCTACTTATCTGGAGTAAGCTCTATTGAACTCAATGGGAATTACTTTTGAATAAACATGTCCAGGATTGTAACGAGATTTTGAGCAAGTTGCTACCTTATAGCCCAACTACCTTGCAGGGTTGTTATGGGGACAAAGTTGGAAAACATTCCATGTATATGATCTGAGCTCCTCAGATAAAAGAAAGGGAACAGACATAAGTAAGATATTGCCATGGGGATGTAGCCCGTTAGTCCATCCTGCTGCAGGAAGGCTTCCACCAGTGGAGTGCAGCAAGGTGATTTTCTCTTCTCCCTGCAGCTCCCCATGTATCCTCAAAATATTCCTAACAGACTAGGGGAGCCCCCTTAGCAGATGTTGTGGCTCAAGAGATATTGGGGGGTCAATGAAGAGAGCTGGGGAACATCCCATTGTGCAAACAGACATTTGCTCACACTGCTGGATTTTACTCACAAGCAAATGGTAAAGCAGCTTAGGAAGAAAAGACAGACCAAAATGGACAAGTTGAGATGTAATTGCCAACTCATTATTTCAAGTGGTTCTCCAGTTCTGGTGAGGGATCAAACCGTAAGTTGCTGATTCAGATATTACACAAAACAATGGTTTGATTGAACAAGGAAGCAAGGCTTGAAATAACAGCAGGCCAGGGGATGGAGTTAAGCACACAGCACATTCATGATTTGACTGCTATAGTTTGGCCATCACATCTCAACCCGGTCACAGAATAGTACTGTGAAGGCATAAATCTGTTGCAAAAAACATTATTTATACCCCACCTTTCTTCCTCTGGCAAGGAACCCAAGGCAGCTTGTAAGGTTCTCATCTTCTCCATTTAATCCTCACTACAGCAACCCAATCTAGACAGCATACTAAAAAGCAGAGACATCACCCTGCCAACCAAAGTGCGTATAGTCTAGGCTATGGTTTTCCCAGTTGCAATGTATGGCTGTGAAAGCTGGACCACAAGGAAGGCTGAGCGCCGAAGGATTGAGGCCTTTGAATTGTGGTGCTGGAGGAGACTCCTGCGAGTCCCTTGGACCGCAAGGAGATCAAACCTGTCAGTCCTAGAGGAGATCAACCCTGACTGCTCTTTAGAAGGCCAGATATTGAAGATGAGACTCAAATACTTTGGCCACCTAATGAGAAGGAAGGACTCCCTGGAGAAGAGCCTAATGCTGGGAACAATAGATGGCAAAAGGAGGAGGGGATGGCAGAGGATGAGGTGGCTAGATGGAGTCACTGAAGCAGTGGGTGTGAGCTTAGGTGGACTCCGGCAGATGGTGGAGGACAGGAAGGCCTGGAGGAATGTTGTCCATGGGGTCGCGATGGGTCAGACACAACTTTGCGACTAACAGCAGCAGCAGCAACTCTATGAGTTAGGCTATGCTGAGTCTGTGACTAGCCCAAAGTCACCTAATGAGCGTTATGGCTGAGTGGGGACTAGAACCCAGACCTCTCAACCCCCAAACCCAGCATTCTGACACCACTGCACTGGCTTTTAATAACCCCTTCTTTGGTAATGCACATCACATTAATTATAAAAGCCATAGAAAAGAAAAATGGAATACTCTGCATCCAAGGTTGTCACCAAGTACCACCAACAAAGGAATCAAAGAGAAAGCAGCAGCAGTAGCTGGGGAATCAGAATAAGACAAGTCCTCTAACAAGATCTGCAGTGCGGAGTGCTTCCATTTAAGACTCTAACCAGCAAGCTAAGCCCATCCCAGGATTTTCTATTTTGTCTGCATCCCAATAGCCCAAGTTAGTCAGCATCCCATAACCACTGGAAATACTCCGCCTTTAATGAGCTGCTTGAGGCATTTTTTCCTCTAAGGTCTTTCCCAATCTTAAGAATTCTCCCAACAGCTGATCCTTCTCTCTTGTTCTCTATTAGCAAATATGATGATCCCTTAGAATATCTGAAGTGAAGAAGGTGCTGTGTCTCAAGGGGAGAAGAAAGGGTTAAGTCCTGATTCAAGTTTGTAGAGCACAGGTTGTGGCTTCAAGGCCATGCCAGAGCCTGGCTGGGCTGATGGAAGGGGAGGAAAGGAAAACATATAACAGTCTGAAGAGTCTCAAGGACTGGCATGTTCCCTTGTTGATGAATTCCACCTGGGGGCCCAGGCGATGTCACCTCATGGAATTAACGGTTCCGATTGCTTGCAGGAGGGAATAAAAGAAGGGCTTTCCAGCTAGCCAACTGCTCCCTCTTTGCACTGGAGGCTCTGCCCATGTTTTGGTTTGCTACTTCTGAGAAAGTTTGCTGCATATTCTGCCCGTTATTAGTCATAGACTAGTTAGTTTTATTATTTTTCGGTCTGGGGTGGGCAAAAGGCTTGGGATTTGATGCTTACACCTGTAACCTGCACACTGTATGCTGCTATCTGCTTTCCCCCACCCTTCTCCCTCCTTTCTGTGTGCACGCGATTGTGCTCCTCCACTCCTATTGTCTGTGACTTTTTTTGTTTCCTGAAGAACTTGGGTCATCGTGTGCTGAAATCCAGTAGGTTCAACTCTGTGAGTGTTGGGGGCACAGGTTTTCTCCTGCCGGAAACTGCAGGAGGTGGGGCCTCCTGAACAGTTGCTGCACTGGTGTGGCACTTCACTGTTACAATTATCAGAGTTCAGTTCTATGAAGGATGGCTGGGTTTGATCAAAATCACAACCCAAAGCATACAGAGGAGGGAAATGATGATTTTTGTAAGAAAACTGAATATGTTTTAGGATTTTAGTCACAAAAATGTATTAAGGCTGTACCAGAAGCACTTACTCGTGAATGTTTTCTTGAAAAGCACCACCTCACCTATAGAGCTTTTTCAGTAATCTCTTCCAAAACATATACCTACTCAGAAAACATTCTGAATTGACTTCAGTTGTCTTCAGTGACATCAGCACATTCAACTGGATCAATGATGTCATGAAATTAAGTTCCTATATGAACTCTGACAGGCTAGGATTACCTGTTAACAATGCAGAAATTAGAAGACTTTCCAGAAACAAAGTGGCACCAAAACATTTGCAGTTAGCAGTTAACAATGGCAGAACTGAAAATGTACATTCTCACATTTGAAGAACTTTTTAGAAACAATTTTCACTATAACGACACCCAATATAACTAATATAATTAAGAAAATGCAGAATGTTCTCTGGATCCTGTGGATGGCAGCCTGCTGATCCAGACTGACAGTCTATATAGTCAAGCATCCCAATTCACAATGGCAACTAGGTCCTTCCAGGAAGCAACAAGCAGAGTAAACATATTTCCAAGTTTTACTTTTTGGCACCTTCAGCTTCACAATGCCAAGTGAGGTTATTTAGCTACCTTTTCATTGCCCTTTTAAAGCTACAGGACATGGAAGTTCCTTATTTCTTTATTTGAATGGAACAAAATTATCTAAGATACAAAGAACATAGTCATACAAAAAATAGTCTTATTTCTGTCCAAATTCTTTTCATTATTCCAAAAAGGTATTGAAGACACACAACCTCCAGGAGGCATGAGTTAAACCATTCCTCCAAGGAAATAGAAGAGTTTCAAATGTGGCTACAGAAAGCCAGCATATCCCTCAGTCTATCCATCCTCAAAGGAGGACATAAAGGGATGATAATGACACAGTAACCCAAATTAGCAGGAGGCTCTGCCTGCTATGCCCTTGAGTAATCAGAGGGCGGGGACTGACTGAGTAATCAGTGGAATGCACCTGCAGCTGCTACTTCCCTCGTTCCAAAAGAAAAACAGACCAGTGAAGAGCCTAGGCACTGGAAGAGGACTTAGCCAGCCTGCTCCTGTGCTTTCCATGATGGCTGGGCAGTTTACAAAAACTTGTAATGGCAGGTTTTCTAGGCAAGGTGTTGCCAAGCCATGCTTCTACTCCAGAAGGGGAAAGAACCCAATAAAGAAGCAATGCAAGCATGGCTTATGAAAAACCTGCTGCTGGCCCAGAATCCCACATCACAGTCTCCAGCACACTTCTCCTATGAGTCATTGGGGAGACCAAAGAGCTTCACAGTGCCAGCTTCCCTGCTGCTGTCATATTTGCCATCTTTATCATCACAGGCGAAAGCCAGCAGTGGACGCTTTGGATGCCAAGCCACAGTGAAGGTTGGGGACTCGCACTGCACTTCCCAGAGCTTCTCACCTAAAAGGAAAAAAACACAGTCAGAAATTTTTCTACAACTAGACCAGATGCAGCTCAGCAAGAAAGGACTGATTTAAATCAAGGCCATCTATCATCAATTAAATCATGATCTGGATCAGCATGAAAGAAGGTTGCTTTAAATTGTTTCCCACTGAAACTTTAAATATGTTTATTGAACAAATGATGCCAATCTACCCACTAAGCCATGCTAATTTACAAGCAAACAGAGTTCTATTTACACTAATTATTCTTACAATATTTGCATCTCTTGGTGTGTCTGTATATCATTATGTACAGTTGGAAGGGGCCATTGGATCCAAAGTTAAGTTCCACTGATTTACGTGGGACTTACTCTCAGGTAAGTGACTCAGGTAAGATTACAGCCTTGATATAATACAGAAAGATGCATACTAGGTGAGTTGGTCCTTGGTTTTTTTGTTTGTTTTTCTGAGGGTTGTCCCTTTCTCTTTCACTCTGCCTTGAGCCATGTTCGCCCTCACAAAAAACTAAGTAGTCAACAAAAAGGCTGAATAGGTCAAAGCAAGATTTGATAATTACAGAGCTTGGAAAAAATCCAATTGAAAATTTTAAAATGCTGATTTCATTTTTTCAAAGCATCCATTTTTATCTATCCTGTTTTATTGTCCTTCTGCCTTAACAAACTCCTCCGCTTTGCTTAGCCCAATTCCATTGCCACATAAGTACACAACAACAATCCTTAGTCAGAAAAACCAGAAGGCCAGGTTTTTATAGAAGCAAGAGCTGAAAGACTGAACCAAGCCATTTTCATGGGATGAAAAACTGCTCATATTTGTATAGTGTGGTAGATAACACACAATCCTATGGCCACCTGAAACTGTCTAGAAGGCCACACAAAAAGAATCTCAGCTTCAACCTTGGGAAAAAAAATTCTAGCTCAGAGCTGGATTTGTTTTGTGTTTGTTTTTTTGAAATTCAGAACAACTTCCCTGTATCCTTGAAGCTTCCCTGCACCAGCTTCAAATCTGAGGAAGCAAGGCAAACCTAAAAGCTGGTGCTAGGAAAGCGTGCTCCAGGGAGGGAAGGTGAGGAGTGAGGCACTGCTATCCTATGACATAACCTGGTAGTACCCCTCAGCTCCTCTCCTCTCAAGCTGGTGTAAAGCACCTAGATGTCTATTTGGAGGGTGGGTGGAGCACCAAGGCAATCCCCGCCTCTGCAGGCTTTCTGCTCTGCACTGGATGCCCATAATCCTCCAAGTTCAGAGGCTTACATGCAGCCACACTGGATGGCTCACTAAGTCTAAGTTTAAGCACATTTATGCTGATATTTAATTGTAACTGTTTTTGAAAAGAGAAATGTAAAGTTTTTTTTTTAAAAAAACCTAAATTAATACATTTAAGTTTAAATATCTGATTTAACTTGTTTTAAAACTCTTTATTTAAATCACTGGATTTTATCCACTCAGCTCAGACAAGGTCAACTTTACATAAGAATACAACTTGATGAGACTAATGCTGACAAAAATTTAGCAACACATGCTCATTTTATATAATATCGAGCTTCTATTTCCCTTGTGGGGCTCCCTGTCCTCTCGAGGCCGGGGCTGGAGTGCCTCCACTTGGTGCTGACCGACCGAGACAGACTGGGGATTCTGTTGGTGCACCGTGCACCCTTCTGCCTAACAGACTCCCTGCCTGAGCTGACAGATCGTCTCGGACCTGGTGTTGAAGATTCCCGGAATGTTGGTCCTGGGGGACTTCAATCTCCATGCCAAGACGGTTCTAACCGGGGCAGCTCAGGACTTCATGGCCTCCATGGCGGCCATGGGGCTGTCTCAACACATCATTGGCCTGACCCATGAACGTGGACACACTCTGGACCTGGTTTTCTCAACGGGGCAGGAAGAGGGTGACCTGAGGGTGAGGAATTTAAGCTTGACGCCCTTGTCATGGTCAGATCACTTCCTCATAAGGTTTGAGCTCGAGAGTGGCCTTTCCCTCTGTAAGGGTGCAGACCCGATTGTATTGGTCCACCCCCAGAGCTGGATGGATCCTGATGGATTCCTGGAAGCTCTGGGGGATTTTCCGGTTGACAAGGCCGGTGATCCTGTTGATGCCCTGGTTGAACTGTGGAATGAGGAGATGACCAGGGCTATTGACACGATTGCTCCCAAGCATCCTCTCCCACCTGGCAGAGCCCGTTCATCTCCTTGGTATACACCTGAATTACGGGCGATGAAGCAGGTTGGGAGACGTCTAGAGCGTAGGTGGAGGAGATCACAGGGCGATTCTGACCAAACACACTTAAGAGCCCATTAACGGGCCTATGCTGTGGCGGTGAGGATGGCGAAGAAGAAATTCTTCTCTGTTTCCATCGCCTCCTCACAATGCCGTCCGGCGGAGCTTTTTCGGGTGGTGCAGGGGCTGATACATCCGGGCCCGAAGAAAGATCTTGTGCCACCCTCAAAGGCCCGTTGTGACGATTTTGCCAAGCATTTCAGGGAGAAAATTGCTCAGATTCGCCACGAGCTTGACTCTGCTATTGAATCAGATTCTACTGGGGAGATGCCATCGACGCCGTCAAGTCCACAATTTATGGATGAATTTCAGTTGTTGCGGCCTGATGATGTGGACAAGGTGCTTGGACAAGTATATCCTACCACTTGCTTACTAGACCCATGCCCATTTTGGCTACTTAAGAAAGCCAAGGACGGGATTGGGACCTGGATCCTGGAGGTGGTCAACGCCTCTTTAAGAGACGGCCAGGTACCTGCCCCTTTAAAGGAGGCGGTAGTCCGGCCAGTCCTAAAGAAAGCATCCCTGGATCCAGAGGTGGCCACCAATTATAGACTGGTGGCCAACATCCCGTTCCTGGGCAAGGTGCTAGAGCGGGTGGTGGCGGGACAACTCCAAGCACTCTTTGATGAAACTGATTATCTGGACCCATTTCAGTCTGGCTTCAGACCCAGGTATGGCACTGAATCTGCCTTGGTCGCCCTGTACGATGACCTGTGCAGGGAGAGAGACAGGGAGTGCGTCCCTGTTAGTTCTCCTGGACCTCTCAGCGGATTTCAATACCATCGACCATGGTATCCTTCTGGATAGGCTAGCGGGATTGGGAGTTGGAGGCACCGCATGGCAGTGGTTCTGCTCCTATCTCAATGGCCGATTCCAGAAGGTGGTGCTGGGGGACTATGGCTCTGCGCCATGGCAGTTATGCTATGGAGTTCCGCAGGGGTCCATTCTGTCCCCTTTGCTATTTAACATCTACATGAAACTGCTGGGAGAGGTCATCAGGAGGTGTGGGCTGTGAAAACATCAGTACGCTGATGATACCCAGCTCTACCTCTCGTTTTCCACCAATCCAGGTGAGGCAGTGGCTGTGCTGAACCGGTGCCTGGCCGAGGTAATGGGCTGGATGAGGGCCAATAAACTGAAGCTCAGTCCAGACAAGACGGAGGTCCTGTTGGTGGGTGGCTCGGGCCTCGGGATAGGGGACTTGGGCCTTGTCCTAAATGGGGTTGCACTCCCTCTGAGTGACAGGGTTTGCAGCTTGGGAGTGCTCCTTGACCCTGAGCTGTCTCTAGAAGCTCAGGTGACGGCGGTGGCGAGAAGCGCCTTCCTTCAGCTTCGGCTGATACACCAGCTGCGTCCCTTCCTGGAGAACGACTGCCTGGCGACAGTGACACACGCATTGGTAACTTCCCGATTAGACTTCTGTAACACACTCTACGTGGGGCTACCCTTGAAGACGGTCTGGATACTTCAATTGGTGCAGAATAGAGCTGCCAGGTTGCTGACGGGGACTGGGTATTGTTCTCATATAACCCCAGTTCTCCGTCAGCTCCACTGGCTCCCGATTGAAGTCCGGGCCCAATTCAAGGTGTTGGTTATGACCTATAAAGCCCTAAACGGCTTGGAACCTGGATATCTAAAGAAATGTTTGCACCCATATATGCCCGCCCGCCCCTTGAGATCAGCAACGGATGCCATTCTCCAGAAACCCTCTGTGAATATTAGGAGGGTGAGTACCCGGAGGAGGGCTTTCTCTGCAGTGGCGCCCCATTTATGGAATACGCTCCCCAGAGAGGTCCGCCTGGCGCTGTCGTTACTTGTTTTTCGGCGCCAGGCTAAGACCTTTTTATTTAAAACTTATTTTAATTGCTAAATTATTGTATTAATTAGGATTTTAAAATTTTTACCTGAGAATGCACCGGGGGTTTTTAAATGTTGTTGTTGTTGTTTTCTTCTTTTAATTGCTATATTATTATTTATGTATGTTTTATGTATTCTTTGTGAGCCGCCCCAAGGTTTTGTTGCAATGGGGGCGGCACAGAAATGTTTTAAATAAATAAATAAATAAATAAATAAATAAATAAATAAATAAAATTACAGGTATGGTTCAAAACCAAAAGCTTTCAAACAAGAACTTTCTTAAAAATTCCTTTTGCCTATAATGTACAGATACTATTACTTTGAGAAGCACAGTAGTTTAGACAGCTATCTTCCTTGCAGCTCACCCTTGGATGCTCTGCCTTGACTCTTCAAAAGCAGGTCAACTTAGTTTGTCCTACTGATTTTTCTGAATCTTCTGCAAAGTATTTTTAGGGCAGAACAAAAGACATTTACTTTCAGTAAAGAACACACAAAAAGGATATTAACAGTGTAAAGTCGCTCAGAGGAAAGTCAGTGTTCAGTGGAAGCTTTATCCCTTATTGATTATATATAGCATTATAGCCTAACTACTTTGGTGACAAGGAATGAGAACAGTGCCACTTACCCGTTTCCACTTCTGCAATATCAATGAAATGGTCTTCAGAAGCTGAAGCCAGCATCTTCCCATCATGGCTGAAGCTCAATGTCCTCACAGGCCAATCAAGCCTGAAAGATGAAAGCAAATGGGAGCGGATAAGGAAGGAGAATTGAGAGAAGAAAAGGGGACAATTACATGAACCCTGAACGAGTGTCATCCTGTTTCCAAACGAGACTAGCCCAAATCATTCGAGAAGCACAAAAACTATGAATGAAGTCATAGTTCCTGCTTCGCCTCTCCTAATCTCTGGTATTGCAGAAGGAAAAATACTGCCACTGGTAAGGAAATCTTGTAGCAAGAAATTCTGTATACTAAACACTTAATGAAGAAATATTTCCTACTGATTTTTCTGCATCTACTGCAAATCAATTGGTTTTGTTCAGTTACCCCAGTTCCAGTATCAGAAAATATTCTTCTCCAATCAGCACTCCACATAGATAATTTCTAGCATAATACATGTTGTTAATCTCTACCATGGCCCAACTTACTAATCTTTTCTATACTTAAAAAACAACTCAAACATTTCCTCATGAAAATGGTATTCTAAGTCCTTGATCTTTTTGAATGACCCTGTCTGGCACTTTAATACATTTTTGTATGACAAACAGTAGATCCTGTTCCAAATATGATTGCACCACAGCTTAATATAAAGACATTCTAATGCTGCTCACTTAATATTCAACCCTGTCCCTAAGAATTTTCCAACACAGAACTTAATTTCTCCCACAAATAAATACAGAAAAACAAGTCATTCGGGGTGGATAGAAATGGATTTTGAATTCTTAAAATATCCCATTTTAAATCTGATTTTTAAAAAATCAAATTGCATGAGGTTATTTGCACTACATGAAACCCCATCATGAATTAATTTACCCTTAGGAAATGCCACATTATGCTAGGTGCCCATGAGAGACATTCTTGCCTGCTGCATCTGGGTGCCCATCTTCCCTTGCTCCAAGAACTCAGGCTGAAAGTGTTGTTTAAAAATTAGACAACCCTTGAATAACTCTAAACAACCTCGTCCACACAAGTCTACCCATAGGAAGGTGGGCATCATGATAAATGGTGTTCACAGGTGCCCATCATGAAGTGGCAACACAGGTAAACTAATCCAAGGCGGGCTGTCATGTTTGTGAACTTAGGAAGCCTTTTAAAAGAAAGGCTGAGATTCTTTTTAATTATGTTAATACACAAATAGTCTCTTAAAACTAAGATATGATCATCTATCAAAGAGATTAAATTAAAGCCATGGTGGAATTTATTATATTTCAATGTTTACTTCTTCATGCTACAGGAAAAGTAAAGCAGCTTACATGGTCCTCCTCCCTATTTTATTCCCACAAGGAACCTGTGAGCAATCTGTGACTAGTCCAAAGTCATTCTGGGAGCTGCATGGCAAAGGGTAGACTAGAACAGAGATCTCCCAAGTCCCAGTCTGAATTTCTAAAAATAACTCTTCAGCAATGGTATGGTATCATTGCCAATTACCAGAACCAATAAACTATCAAAGAATCTAGGATCCAGGTAATGTAATGCTTTATATCACTAGGTTCATCTTCCAAGCTAACATAGGAGAACTTAACACACTTATTTTAACCTCCCAACTATGTAACCTCTGTAAGTGAATTCAAGTTATGAATATGTACAATTTCACTAACTACAGGAAACTGTATTTTGCACATTACAAGCTTAGAAAGTTTTTGACAGTCTTCCAAAAAGTGATCTTACATTACTGTACGTAAAAAAAAAAACTTTTTTCTTGTCTCTAAATAAGAATAAACCTGAAGAAATATAGTTCTTGTCTTTAAACAATAAAAGTAGGCAGGAGAAGCATGAAGAAGCATTTTGGATGATGCTTCTAGGATAAAAACCTCTGCCTGGTTTGACCAGTGTATTTTAGTTATGGCTGTCATGAGCTGCTTGTCTACCTCAGGTAACACACCAGCTTTCTTTATTTAATTCTGTTTATTGTTGTACAAGCTTCTTAGCATACACCAAGTACAAAAGTTGAACTCTATCTACTGTTCATTAACCAAAGATTTCCTTATGAACCCAGAAAGAGAAGAACTGTGAAAGTTCAAGATGCAGTAACTCTTCAACTCTCCCATGGGAGAATAGTGGTGGTGGTTCCAGTGTCCTTCTCCTCCTTCAACAATTCCTGTCAGGTCTCAAAACCTTGAGGCTTGTCTTGAGAATGGACTATATGGCAAACAATCTCCTTGTCAACCTCAGAATCGTCATCCCTAAGAGAAAAGGCACTGAGCACCTTGCGTACACATGCCTGAGCTTTTTCTGGATGTACACACGACACCAGGAATCTTAAAGTGTGGCTGCTTGTTCAGGATATATATGCATTTTTAAATGGGAAAGCTGATTTTAAAACAATGGTTTAATTTTTTTTCATTGGTATTTAAAATTCCCTTGATTTTAAAAATAAGCCTATTATGTTAGCACTACAAACTGACTTGATATTTTAATAGGATTATTCACTATGTTCCCTAAAATTGTGTCCTGGATAATAACCACCAGACAGCATGGGAATATTTCTTGCCCCAGCATGCATTACATTACATTCACTTACACAAGTAAGGTGTAGACCTGTCTGCAACCCCACAAGCTGAAAAGGGGATTGGACATAGGACAAGACAACTTACCTAGAGAAACATCGTACACATACTAGCTCATCTACATCCCAGAGGCTAACAAGTGCATCAGCACTTCCTGTGGCAAAATATTTGCCCATTGGGTCAAATTTGATGCAGATGCAATTTGAGGGATGAGCATTAATTGACTGGATTGGCTTTAGCTCTGGATAGCTGTGGAAAAGGAAAGAAATGAGGTAGAAGTTAATCTACAGAAAAAGCAGTCCTTTCACACTAGCTATTTAACATCTTGGAATGCCTTCCTTACTAATCACCACATGTAAGACAGAACCTTCTTTACAGAAGGAAGCCCCACAAGTTGCATAAATCCATCTAAATGGGCTTTGGGTTCATTTGAGCCCCCAAGAAATTACAACATGGATGGGTTAGCTTATTTTTATTCATACTATGGAGTCAGATAAATCAATAAAATGGAGATCAGAATATAACATTTAAAATATATCCAAGCGACAGATATAGTAAGAGGGCTCACTGTCTACACACACATTATCATTCAGAAAATGAAAATGCAGAGCACCATTTCTGCTGTATTAGTTTTCAGTTTCTCCTAGCCCAGTAAGTATGTAAGCAGGAGCACATGATGGCATCAGAAAGAGGAGCTCATACTTCTCCTAGTTTATGCCTCCACTGGGATACCCTAGAACCAAGGTTCACCATGTCAGTTTCCACAGTGACTTAACATAGAAGAGCTTAGCTTTCTGTACAAAACACAGTAGTATCTTCCCAACATCTCCCTCTTAGTTAAATGATAAACTGAGAAAACAGTGGAAATGATTTTAAAGGATTGTTTTTTAAAGTGTGTGCACAACAAAACAAACATTTCCACTTTTGTAGTTAACATTAGCTGCTAAAGAAAACTCACTCCAATTAGAATATTTTCTGGGAAATCTCTCTGAGACTGAAGACTCTAGAGAAACTATTTTGAGCAAACTAGGCAGCAGCAGCAAAAATTATATTTAATCTGAGACCTTAAGATACTATAACTGAACCTGGAAGAATGAATGAGGGAATGGAAAATTCTGAGGCAGCACTGTTACCTTTGAAGCCATATCTGGACTCATAGAATAGTAGAGTTGGAAGGAGCCAAGAAGGCCATCGGGTCCAACCCCTGCTCAATGCAGGACACCAAGTTAAACCAACCTTCTCAGATAGCTGTCCAGTCACACCTTGAATGCCTCTAAATAATAAACTCCATTGTCATATTGTAGTGTAAATATAACAGCAGGAGGCAAAAGAGAAAGTGCTGAATCCTCAATACGCTATTGACAAATGTTCTGGTGCTACACATTTCTCCTATCAACCACCTAGACCAAAAGACAAGACAGCCACTCACTTGCTGCCTTTCCTAGAAAAGGCCATGTTGAGGGTACCTGAGGATGTTGATGCAACCGTTGCCATTGGTGAGGAAAAACATGTTGTTGTCATTGTTCCAAGAGATCTCATTCACCTCAAACTTGAACTGCTCCTCAGCTTTGGACCGATGTGTCTTAGCATCAATGAAAGTCACCACATCATCCTTGTTTCCTACAGCAATAGTTTGACCATCAGGGCTCCAGCAGATGTTAATGTTTTCCCCTATAAAGGAGAAAGGAGAGAGGAGAGATTAAACTCATTTAGTTACTGCCTGGGGCAAGAGCAGTTCACAAGCAATACACAGACTTTTGCATCTGTTAATTGATAATCACTAACAGGACAAAATGCAGCAATACAGCCTTATAATGTATGTGATACCGCTACAATCCTGACACTCTCTTTATATTACTATTACAACCATATCCTTCCTTTTTACAGTTTACAGGAAACCAAAGTGGCTTACATGGTCTTGCCTTGCTCCATTTTCCTCACAACTCTATGAGATGGGTTAGGTTAACTGTCAGCAACTGCCCAAATTCATTCAGTGAGCTCTGTAGCTGAATGAGAACCAGAATCTGAGTTTCCCACATTCTAGTCAAAAACTCTAACAAATATATCTCACTGGCTCTAATAAGCAATGACAAAAAGTAAATCACATATTATGGCACCAGAATATATTCCATGATAAACTATTATCAAGGTAGCCACATGTTTAAAAACTTGAAGATTAGATTATCAAGAGGTTTATAGTGATATTAGTGTACAAAGTTGATTTATAATTGGTATTTCAAATTAATGCTTTGAAAATACTATACAAAAAATATTTTGCTCTTGACCCAGGCTATGATTTGGAAAAACATGGTTTTTTCAAAACAGAGGACAGAGAAGATCCGTGTGTTTGGGGAAGAGAGATCCATGTGAGCCAAGATTATCAGTAGAGAAATCAACTTGCTCTCTTCCTAGGACTCACCTGACCCACCCCCCAGAAGCAGGTACTGGCAATAACAACAATAAAACAGCTGGGCTATAAGAACCACTACTTATCATCATCATCATCATCCACCTTTAGTGTTCACTGTGGCTATGCACTTAGTGGTACGAACATCCCATATGCGAATAGTTTTGTCTCCAGATGCCGTGACAAATAAGTCTGGGTTACTTGGATGCCAGCACAACTGATCCACACTATCTCCATGGCCACGGTAATTATTCTCTTTCACCTAAGAAATAAGCATACAGTTCTAAATTAATAATTTCATATAGAGACAAAATCTTTTTAAAAAGGGTTTTGCATCTCAGTCAGCCTAGCGATAAGGTTTAATCAACATTTATGTATCTTTAAGCAAGCCAATTACCCAACTTCTAGGTTAAGCCTCCTTTACAAACACAGTTTTGAAAATAGTCTAGAAGAAGCATTTTAAGTTTCATGATGTATACCTACTTTTCAGTATAAAAGACCGCCAAAGCAAGTTACAGTAGACTATACCAGGGCTAGGGAACCAGCAGTTTATGTTAGCTGCGACTTTCCAATCATTCCTCCGAGGCCCTGGCGGGTTAGCAAAATGTTTAGCAAACTATTATCCTTTGTGGGCTTATTTTCAAAGCCTATCATATCACAAGCTCCAAGGATTAAGAATTACGCTTCCTTGAAAATGCAACTAGAATCAATAGAGAACAACCCCAAAACCAGGAGAGCGGCATGCAAACGAATAAACACTTGCAGATGTTAAGAGAAACGGAGAGCATAAGCTGTCATCTCTGTGAGCCGTCTGCAGTTTTACATCGGTATCTACGCTACAGATTTCACTTAAGTTTGAAAGCGGCCACTCTCTTATGAATATCCATAATTAAGCGAAGGCGCCAAGTCGACGCTTTCACGACCCCAGAGCGCACAGAAGCACAAGTGACAGTCGCGGTTCTTCATTCCCCCTGCCTCGCCACTCCTCCCACGGACCCGGCCACAGGGCGCTCGAGAACTGACCAGCCGGTCCTTGTCCAGCACGAAGACGCTGGCGGTCTTGTCGAAGGAGCCGGAAGCCAGGCGGCGGCCGCAACAGCTCCACGCCACCGAGTGGACCTTCGCTCCGTGCGCCGGGAACTCTCGGCTGCGCGTGTTAGCCCGAAACAGGTCCTGCATGGCCTGCACGTAGGGAGAAAGCGCCATGGCAACCAGGCCAGGAAGCGCGGCTGCCCGAGCGCCTTTCCTTCCGGCGGGGCCCAAGGTTGCACTTCCGCTACGTCATAGGAGGTGTGCCCTCCCTCTTGCCGGGCTGGCGCATGCTCATGCTCATGCTTCTGATGCGGAGCAAGGCTTATGGAAAGACAGAGGCTTCATTTCTTTGGCAGTCATCATGACTTCTATTCGAATATTTCGAGAAGCTGGATGAACCTGCTCTTCAGACTTCCCCAGCCCCGCCAGACGCAGCCAGCATGACAAATGGTCAGGAATGCTGGGAGTTGTGATCTTGAATAGCTGGAGGGCACCAGGTTGGAGAAGTAGAATGCTGGGTTGTGGCTGAGTTGTGCGAAGGAAAAAGCCAGGATGGAGCGCGTGAATTCAGTGTCACAAACAATAAGAATTGTGACTTGCCTCTGCTCGTACGAGCGATGTCCCCCCTGCCCCGCGGCAAAATTTAAACTTGATTTCTCTGCCTTTTTCAACTTATTTAAATGATCCTCTTAGAGTTGCAACTGGCACCACAAAATTTGCATTTCAAGGAGCTCATTTGAGATAATAAAAGAAAAAAGGACATTGCAATATGTTTGCTATCAAATTAACAATGCTGACTAAATTAGGTTATTGCCCTGGTGTGCATGTGCCCAAAATACACAACGGGAGAGTTTTCTTTTAAAATATTCTTGAGAATAACTGTCTGCCAACAAATTGTTCCATATGGTGCACCTGAGCAGTCCTCAGTTGGCCCTTTTATACATTGATCATTAAAAGAATTACACGTAACACAGTTAACACTTTCCAATAGGTTACAGAAGCGAAAAGGTTTGGCGTGATTCTTGCCTGCCTACATACCAAAGCAGAAAGAAGATGCTCCAAAGGAAAGAAGGAGAATGAGGTGCTATTCCAGAGAAGAGGAGGATGAGTGGGTTGGTGTGAATTGCCCTTTGTTTGAGCTGCTGTTATCTTTCAAGAGTCAACTTGCCCTCTCTGGAATGGTGCCTGGTTAATATCAGCTACATTCCAAGGATGCTGATCTCTAAAAAAAAAAAAAAAAAAAAGAGCATTTTTTTCTCTGGCCCAGCTGTGTGTTAATATTTTCATGATTCTACCTATTAAAGTTATACCTAATGATTTATACCTCAGCTACAGTTGGATATTTCAATTGTGGCCATTTATTGCAATTATGACTGTTTAGATAAAGGCAGACTTTTTTTGTAAGCCCTGTAGTATGTTACAGCTGTCTAATATTGTTGTTTATATCTGAAATAGTAACAAAAATAGTACACTAAAACAAGCCAGTGATAGTTGCAACTATCAGCAGTGATAGTTGCAAACTGCAATGGAGCTTTCACTTTTTTTTCTTGTTTATTCATTTGTAAACTTAACTTTGCTATAAATTGCTACAAAACACAGCTAACTACTTGTTTCTGCAGAGCTATTTGGGAATAAACAACCTTTTGTGCTTCTTGTCCACCTGTGTTTGTTGCAATTACTGACTCTGATTTACAGTCTGCTGTCTCTAAATATCCTAGACTGATGAAACAAACTGAAAAGCTCTGTAAGAAATTTATTTGCTATTACCTTTATCTTGCTTTTCACACAATTACTTTCTCCCAGAGGCAGTTCAGAGCACAAAAGAAAGAGAGAAGTCCTGTCACCACTCTTAGGAGCAAAAAAGACATGCAGTGGTACCTCTGCTCATGAATGCCTCAGTTCACAACCAAATCAGGTCACGAAGAGAAATTTCTGAAAAATTTTGCCTTGGGTCACAAACCCCGAACCGCTCCTGCTTCAAATTTTTGTGATTAAAAAAAAATAGTTATAGAATGGATTAACCTTATTTACATTGAACCTTATGGGGAAATTTGACTTTGCTCTTGACCAATTTGAGTCACTACCAGAGTCCTGGAACAGATTAAGTTCATGAGCCAGGTACCACTGTACAAGGGAAAGCAAGTGGAAGGAAAAAGAGGTGGGAGATCCATTTTTCGAGGCTAGGCTGATTTCCCCCATCATCACATCCTTGCTTGAGTAGCGGCTGATAGCTATCTGGCTAATGGATAAGACAGGAGTGTACTTTGTCCTTCTGTCTGCAGTACCAGAGCAACTGTCACTTGCAGTGGAGTGTTCTTTCTGTCTGAAAGAAAGAATAGAGCTCCTGACAAGTGCTCCTTCTCTGGGCAATGGATGGAGCCAGGTTGGTTGTTGTTGAAAAGCAGAAGCTGCAGCATTGTAATGTCTCTTGGTCCTCTGACAGTAGCAGAAAGCCAAAGCATGTTTCTCTTCTGCTCCCCAGCCTCAGGGTAAGAAATATGAGGTAAATTCAAAATCTCCATGTGTTTATCCTCCCTGGGGTTAATTATTAACTCTTCTGATCATGGATTAGATAAACAGAACTATTCTAAGGGCTTTTCTGTATATCATGTAATTAGTAGATAAGCCATGTGTCCCTCAAAATAAATAAAAAGATAATTCACTGTTTTCTTCTTGTGTGTACATGGACCAGGCTGCTAATCACAGCTCCCTGTAATATGTTCATACATTGTAATTTTTCAGTATAGTTACCCTTCAGAAGATACCTTGAGTTTGTGTACTAAACTATAAGATATAGAAAGCTTTTTAAAAAATTTGAGAATAAGTACATGAGAACTTTGCTGGATCATACAGAGTTTATGCCCACCAGTTTAAACACTTCTATATCTACAATGACCAAACCCAGATGCCCATGGGAAGTACATAAGATATCAACACAATAGTATCTTCCCACTTGTTTTTCCCAGAAAATGGTACTGAAAGATCTAATGCCTCTGCTACTGGAGGTAACATATAAACAGAATGAAGGAGAATCATTGTCTTTGAAAGTCTTGTCCTCTGTGGATTTGTTCATGTTGATGACCATCACTCCATCTTCCAGTAGCTAAATTCAGCGTACAACTATGGATTGTTATATAATACTTTGTTTTATCTGTCCCAAATCTCCCATCTTTAAGCTTCATGGGATAACCTCAGGTTCTAGTATTATGAATATTGTCATATTTTCCACACACCATCATGTCTCCCATCCCCCTGATAATTGTTCTTTTCCTTAAACTAAAAATCATGAAATAACACCTTTCAAATTGGTTCAGTTCCTAGATCTTTTGGGCATCATCAGCAAATTCAACCATTTCACTGACTCCAGATCATTTATGGACAAATTAAAAAACCCTGTTTCTGGGTGGTATTTCAATGCCACCTACACATAGATAAAGGGAGGGATATCTGACTTGCCTTCACTGAAACCTATACAAAATGACTAGCTCCAAGCATTATTTAGAAGCTAAGCTAATCTATTCAGAACCAGTATTTTGAAAATTATAGATTAAATAAGAATGGCACTTGATAAAGGAACATATACATTGGTGCAGGGCTTTTTGTTTGTTTTTTGGTCTTTTCTCACTTTTTCAGAACTTTACTAAAAGCCTAAGGAGGTGATCCTATAGTCTCCAAAGAGCACCTGAGGAGCCATAGGATTTCTTGAGATTCCAAATCTGAGGCTGGACACATCAGAGCATTGATCTCTTCTCCTCTCCCCCTGCAGAAAGAGCCACACTGGTTACTCTTAGAGTGACCTCAGAAAGGAGCAGAACAGGGTATTGAAGGGGGAAGGAAGTGAGGGGAGGAAACGGGAGGCCAGGATATGAATTATCCTGAAGTCACTCCGTCTTCCTTTCTTCCACCTCCAAAATATTCTAGCTACATGGGGGGAAAATTTGTCTAACAATAATGGCCCTCCACCACTCCTCCTCCTGCACTGAATGCCTGTAAGCCTCCAAGGCTGAGGACTTAGGGGCACCCTGGTAGAATTGCGACTTAGGTAAACAATAGCTACTAAAGGTACAGGTAATTGGTGGCCCTCAGATTTTGTAGACTACAGCTCTGAGCCATCTGGAAGGCCACAAGTTATTCATCTGTGATGCTTGGATCACCCCTATCCACATGCTTAGGGACACTCTCAAAGACAGTGAGAGAAGACAGGCTTTTATAGAAGCCATGTTACTTCTTTTTCAGTAGTCTGAGCCCTTCTGTATGCTTACAAATTTTAGCTTTAATAACACTTCAATTTAGCTGGAACTAATAATAAGCTAGCAAGGCTATATTATTTTGGATTGCTTTAAGATACATTTTTGAATTGATGTTACACTGGCCCATTTCCAGCCCTTTGGCACAGAGACCAATTTTACAGATTATGTTGACATTAGTTTAATAAGGAGATCAGCACAATTATGATTGAGTTCTTCAAGAACTCTTGGATGTATACCATCTGGACTCAATGATTTGTTTATTTTCAGTTTGTCAATAAGATCTGGATCTCTTGTCACTATTTTTGTTTCCTCAGACATTCTTATTTAAACTGTCAATTCAGGGCAGGCATAAGAATCTGCTCAAACAACTTCTGCTGGGAAGACAGATGCAAACATTTAGTCTCTTCAGAATCTCCTTAGCCACCTTTTGTACTCTTCATCTGACAGTTGAACCACTTCCCTAGCTTATTTCCTGTTTTTGCTGTGTTTTAAGAATTGTTTAACTGTTGGTCTCCGCACTGTTCTTTCTCAAAATCTTGTTTGTTTTGACATCCCTTACTCTCTGCTTCTCAACCTCATTTTTAAAAACTTGAAGTTAAATATGACTTCACTGAACTTCCTTGGAAATTCTCCTCTTGCATTAAGTTTGATAGCATCTTTTACTGTTAAGTGTTGGGGTTCCACTTTGGTTCAAATGAGCTATGGCCTTTCCTCAGTAAAGCATAAACCCCTAGTTCATCATTCTCAGGGAGAGGGCAAGACCTCCCCACTGAATGAAGATGGGATACAGGTCTGATCTGAGTGTTAGCTGACTCTAACCAGTCAACAGCTGGGGCAAACCCCAGGTGGACCTCAGACCCCAAAACCAAACAGAGCCTGAGACGAGACTTAGAGCTAATTGCAGTTTTATTCTGGTGCACTATAGAATAAACGGAGACGGAGGGGAGATGCTTCCCAAATCAGAGTCTCGAAAGAGGTACAGAGAACATACATTATATACCCTACATCATAACAGGTTGTCCAGATACAAAGTAAATTCATTTCCCTATTAGTCTTTGTTCTGTTAGTTAACAGAAAACTCTTTATCTAGAGACTCCCCTTTCTAATGTGTCTGTTGATTATCTCTGAATTATTCACATCTGCTCTATGTTTCTCACCTATTAGTAATTTATAATGCCATTTGCTACTTTTATGGAGGATTCACCTGGATTCCAACCGGTCCCAGGTTCCAAAGATACTTCTCATTTACCCTCTTTGACATCCAGTCATCCTGTCCCAGGAGTTCACACAGGGTTCTCCATACCTCCCCGCTCCCTCCTGGACAGGAAGTACAACATGGCTGCAGATTTCAGGCTAAGTGGTTAGGCTAAGTGTTGTGAGGGAGTATGTTTCAGGTAACATGAGGATATGAAATAAGGTCATTGGGTTAGACTGGAATCCTCTACCTCATATGTCACACTAGGCCTCATCTACCTCAATGGGAATTACTTTTGGAAATAAATAAGCATTACACCAGGAACGACTATTACCCACTTCCCCAAAATAGTGAGAAAGCCGCATAGAAAAAATGTCCTGGCATAGGCACAGAAAGACTGACATTTTCCCCCATAAGTGGCCGGCCATTTCCACATAGAAGTGAAGCCAGTGTTCCTGCCGCTTTCATTTTTCAAATATTTTATTATTTCATCAGCAAAAACACTGCTGTCACCAAGCACAACATCAAGTATTGACAGATATGTAAGTCTGTGCGGCAAAACTCCTTCCTGAGGGTCTACCGATCTTGGGCAATATATGAATGTAATGGAAAACAAAAAGGTGTTTCGAACCAATAAAGTTGCAATCCCAGTTCCCTGTGAGTAAGCCCCACAGCATTCAACGGAAACGACTGCTGAGGGCACACGCGTATCACTGGACCGCAATCAGTCGCTTCGTTGCAAGGAAACGGGAGCTTGCTAAATCTTTGCAGTTGAGTCTCCGCCAGCAAAAGTTCGCAAAATCGGAGAAAGTGAGGCGAAGCACAACGGCGCGCCAGACAGAAGGAAGAAACAAACGGAGGCTCAACCTACCACCGCCCTCGCCCGTCTGGTCCCGCCCACCGGTGGGCGGAGCTAACTGGAAAGGAAGCTATGGCCGAGGACGACGTTATCTTCATCGAATCGGCCACTGATGTGGAAAGCTTCGGCATGTGTTCCCGGCTTTGCCGCCGGCGCCGGGCCCGACTCAGGAGGAGAAGACGGAGAGAGCGGCTGAAGCGCATCCTTCAAGAACCTCAGGTGAGGGGCCGGTTTGGCGCAGCTTGCCAGGAGTAAACATGGAGGCTCCTCCAAGACAGCTAACCTGATTGCCGCCCGTCCCGCTGCTTGGTCCCTCTCCGTTTTCTGCCTGAGGGCGTTTGCCCGGAGTGGAGGGGATATGTGTGAGCCGTTCTCCTCTTCAGCTACACCAGCCTTTCCATGCGCCCCGACTAATGCCGGCGGCCGGGCAGAAGTGTTTTCTCGAAAGTGGTGAACACCAGTACGTGCTGGATTCAGACGTTCCCCGAAGTATAACGCTTGAGAGCTAGATCTGTGTGAAGCAGCACCGGGCAAAGGCAGGATTCCCGGGGAAATACCCAGTGAGGGAAAGGCACCGCTGAGACGAAGTTTTCTCACGTTGTTTTAGGAAAAGGCGGGAAATGAATGCAGTCCACACGCGCGGGCGCACACACACGTGTGTGTGTGTGTGTGTGTGAAGCACGCATCACTGATTATTTGAGGCGTTACGACTGTGTTACTTTAAAGGCTGGTTAGTTTCAGAGGCAAAAGAGGGCAAAAGAGGGCGATGAGAGAGAATGGACTGGTTGGTGGCTGAGACTGTGGGCAAAGCTTGGAAGTGAGCGAGGAGAGAGAGACAAGACGGAGAAAGCTCTCGGTCTGTCAGACGTTAACAGTCAGTTGTGGTCTGTCGGCAGTCTCCAGGGTCCGAATAGGCAGGCTGCTCATTAGAATCCTCCATGGTGCCGTGAAAAGCGTTTAAGATTCTAAAGAAGGCAATGGAATACTTCGAGCACATATGAGTGACTAGAGAGAGTACAAACCTAGTGTCGCCAAGTATTATGGGGGCGTGGGGGGGGGTGAGAGAGGAGCTGACAGAAACCTGAGTGCAAAAGGGAAAGATTAAACTGACATAAGGACTGGTTACAGCACATTCAAGAGATAAAGGATTTGTGCGTGAGGAGTGATTCTGAAGGGAAAGAGTGAGATATCCGTCAGAAGTTGTTAATATAATAAGTCACTGAACTTCTTAAAACCAATATGCTTATCGCACAAATAACGGTTTTTTAAATTGTTAATTCAGAGTCATTCAGAGCTGTTTGAATATTAGTGTCGCATTGTCAAGGCCGCATAGTCCAACGAAGGAGCCTTATAGATTGGGCACATTACTGTAGGAAATGTTAAATGAAAAGATTGGAATTAAATTCCTGGTAGCAGCATTAATACTGAGAGGGGAATAGGGGAAATAGCAAGAAAAGCAGACTCTTAGAAAATTAGACATATCCCAACAAATTGTAGGAGTGTGCATGTGACAAGGAAATGATTCATTTTCTATACCACGTGCTTTCAGCCCGTGCCTTCTCATGGAGGTTAGTGAGCTTGCGGCACTGAATCCGAGATCCCTCCAGAATAAAAGTCATCCACTGGCACGTGCTCCCAGTTGCTTTTCTTTGTATTGCTTTCCCTTGTGATCTGTTGTGATGCTTAATCATGACGTCAGTTGCTCTTGCTCTGAGCCACAGCTGCTTTGTAAGAATACCAAAGGAAACAGAAACCAAGGAAGCTGCCTTATGCCAAGGGAGACTTTGTGTCTGCCTAGGCCTGTATTTTACTTCTTAATGGAACTCTCCGGGGTTTTAAATAAGGAATGTCCCTCCCCACCACTATCCACATGATCCTTTTAAATGGAAAGTCCAAAGATTAAAGTTGTGTCTTTTGGCATGCAAAACATATTCTCTGCTGCAGAGCTGTGGCAACTCCCCGTATGCCAACTGGACGTAATGGTCACAATTTAAAACAACAGCAACAACAATTAAAAACGCCTAAGACTTTTAAACTGTTGTTTAGCAGTGCTATGTTTTAAAGGACACTCCATGCCCATAGGCTTGCTGTTTGATAGACAAGATCCACAAGGAAAAGAGAATAGGAAGAGAGAAGAAAAGGAAGCAAATTCTAGACATTTTGAATAACAGCTCTCAGTATTCTTGCCCATTGGCTGTGCTGACTGAGACCAATGCATATTGAAATCTAAAGTGCACCATGTTGGAAAAGGGCATATGGGGAAAGGGCTTAAAGATTGCCAGGCTGCTGCCAGCCTTCATGATCACGAGTGTTTAGTCTAAGTCACAGGACAGCATGCCCCAGCATCTGGGGTAGATAGGTGGAAGAGAAATGAAAATTAAATAACATATGACTACAGATGTGTCTAGATAAAGGGGCACAGAAAAGTATGCAATGAAGAAAGCTAAAAAATAAGGCCAGTAGGTTTTTCTGACGCCAAGGGGAATGCTATAAGCTTTGTGGTGCCAAGGAAAAAAGAATAAAAATCAGATGAGTAGAAGGGTGTGTCACAATCACAATTTTGTTATGGGCTTCAGTGGGGATGAATGGCCAAAGAAGAAACAGCAACCTCCAAAGTAGAGCAGTAGTTGCTCTAACAGTACTCAACCCTTATTTATTTATTTAGGGATTTTTCTATCCTGTCCTATTCAAACATCTCAGGACAGCAATACAAAACAGTATGATGGCAGCATACAAAAATATAGTATGAATATCCAATAAACCCAATATTAAAACCACAGTTAATAATTAAAATACAGGGAAAATAAAAAAGTTTTGGCCTAGCACCAAAATGAATAAAGTGTCAGCGCCAGGCACACCTCTCTGGGGAGCAGGTTCCAGGGCCAGGGTGCTACTGCAGAAAAGGCCCTTCCCAGGTAGCCACTCTTCTGATCTCCTTCAAAGAGGGCTCCTGAAGAAGGACCTCAGACACAGATCTTAGGAGACAGTCAGGTGTAAAAGGAAGCAGGGTGGCATATAAAGAGTTGAAACAGAACGAATTCCAGCACAGTGGTGTGCTTGTCTAACAATTGTTTATGCAGTATGATGTCATAGTGCCATAGTACCCATGGTTGTCCATGTGCTAATAACAACTAAGCTAGTCTGCTTGTATTGTGGTGGCATGTGAGGTAGCCTCTTGAAAAACATTCAGAAGCTTCAGCTAGTTCAGAACATGGCAGACAAATTTTTGTCTGCCACACCAAACTAGTGTTACAAGGTCTTAATTGTTTGCTAGTTTATTTCTAGGCTCAATTTATGCAGCTGAAAGCCCTAAAGACTCAATATCTAAATTGCTTCCTCCAAGATCTCTTACTTTCTGTAGGTAGGAAAACAGCTGTTGGACAGAAAACCTTTCAGGTGTGGCTCCAAAATTGTGGAACTCCCTTCCTGAACTTTTTAAGGCTAGCACATACTTTATTTTCATTTAGGATCTATATGAAGTCTTTCCTCTGCATGTGTGCTTTTAACGGAGGCCCTGATCTGCTAGCTGGCCTTTTTCCTGTTGTCTTATACTAGTTTCATTTTATTACAAGATACATCAAGATTCTTGTTTATGAAAACAGAGATATTGATACTTTCCAATGAATAATAACTTCCAAACTGGGATTACAGTATTCAGATATTATCAGCAGTACCCTGCTATATAAAAATATCCTGTATGAATATAAAATTACCGTACCAAAATAAAGACTACAATTCCATATTAGGAGCTTTAATGTTACTGGGGGCAATTATTTTAGCACCATTCTACCTTATGGATCTGACATTCCAGTCTTGTGGCTGTTAACATACATTTAGATTTTCATGACACCCTGTGCCTTTCTGTTAATTCTGCTTAGGTTCTTTCCAGGCATTTCCTCAGCTTCCCAATTTATATAATAATCTCTTCTCATTTGGCTTAACTGTCATTATTTTAATTGTCCTTTGTTTTTGGTTTCTGTCTTTTTGACTAGCATATTTTGCTGCCATGTAGAATTAGGAGTGTACTAAATTCAGTTTTCTGAGTTGCTAGAACCCTTGTTTACACCTGGCCTCCAGTATCTAAACATCCAGATGAGTATTGGCTAGGGCAAATGTGGGTTTGCCTTGCTTTATGTCTGCCTGAGCTCAGATTGGCTGTACGAATGAATCTACTGTTAGAAGCTAAAGTCAGGGTTTTGATCGTGGAGTTGTGTGTATAGAACACAGTGCCTTTTTGTTCAAGGGGAGAGAAGATACAAGAACTGACTGCCTTTTCTCCAGTAACAAAGTAGGTTATAAATGTCTGCCTGCTAAGTCAACTAAAATGTCTTTGGAGGGAAGCACTGGATGGTTAGATGTTGAAGGCTGTCCTAATTTGTTACCCTGTTTGATCTCTTGACAAATGGTCCCGTTCCTGATACCTAGAATTCCTGAAATCTCCCCCCACCCACCCACCCACCACATGGATTGTGACTGCCTCTAATCTCACTGTACATGGAGTAAGATGAGAGAACTAGACTTTGTCCTAGCCAGTTTACAAGTGACTCCAGCATGTTGGATAAGAACTTCAGGGATGTCACCCTTGATCTCAGGCATTTGGAGCAGAACCCACATAATTATGACTTGCCACTAAATGGCATCCAAGGCGACTAACAGCGGTCATTTGCAAATAAAATCAAATGCTAAGTTTTAAAAATCACATGTAAAAGCAAGGCAGGTACAGCCTGTCAGCACAACAAAATCAATAAAGCTGAGTTAATCAGTTCAGTTGTTTCTTATTTACTATGGCTGACCACTACCACAAACCACCACGGGGTTGTTGGGGAACAGGAGCTGGAGGTTCTACTCTGGCACTGACTTGGAAATGTTTATTTATGGAAGCTTCTTCACAGTATTCATGAACTCAAGCAGGAGCTGGTTTCTACCAGTTCCTAAGGACTTTTGCTTTACAGTCTGATTCCCAGTCAAAAAGATTTCCAGTAATCAATCTTTGAGAATCAATCTTACTTTCAAGACCAAAGCAGAAGAAATGCCACTCTGAGGGTTGCAATAACCCTCTGATTTGTTGGGCAGTTTGTAAATGGTTCCATCGGAGCAAGCTGTCCAACTGGATATATATCCATGTACAAGATTCAGAATGAGAAACTCTCCAAACATGCTGCCTCAAATAGCACCTGTATGATCATAGTGGATGAAGTCCATCCACTTGTGGCTGCTGA